CCATTGAATCAATTCTGTACTCATACGGTTTGCTTGTTGGTTCGAAATATATCTGGAATTCACCAAATGACCGATGGTGATCATGTGTCAAGGTAAGAGCATTCAACGGGCTGTCGATCTTCAGACCATCAATGAGATGAATAACACCAGAGTCAAACATATTTAAAATCCGGAGTACATTCTTCTTCAAGTCGCTCTAGGGTCTAGTGTCAGTTATTCTAGTCAGAGATGCAAAGGACATTCACTGCAGACATACCAGATCAGTCTCTCTGGAACAAACTGTAGTTAGACAATGTGGCAAAATGTGAGCAACCCTCCAGATATTGAAATCTGTCACTTGATTCATTTTTCAATGGATTTCCATCATCATCTTTGCAATCCTCCCCATTCTGCTTCCACCGCTTGCTGGCTTCGCTTTTATCAAACTTCCGAGAAACCACACACCGGTGATGATCAAGCACGAGACAACTTTGTCGTAGAATAGATACACATTGTGTCGTCCCAGTAGGTGTGGATGCCTGTATCGAGGACAATGACCTTGGCGTTGGTTGTGGGGTCTTCACAGAGGAAGCTCTGACTAAATTATCTGTATTAACATATGATTCTTTGCGGTGGGGAAGTGTATATAGATGGCATACGTGGAAGAAGGAAATTCTCAACAATGTATTCAGCAAAACTTTCAATGGCGCCATTGGCGTTCTGTTTTTGATTTTGATCCCAGCTAGAGAAACCATTGAAAAAGGACAAGACAACGGTAATGTCAGAGTCAATTGGATTTGCTACTCCTGAGCATAGGTTTTCATAGATGTGTGAGAAAAAGAATAAGAGGAATGCATCTTAAGAAGTAACATGCTCAAATGTGGCCTGGATAAGTGCTGCAGGTTTATAACCAGGCTGTATTGTCTGCTCCAAGCCATAATGCTGGATCAGGTATCTGAAAAGGGTTGTTGCCGCTTGAAGTTGTTGAGGAGTTAGCGAGAACGGTTGCGAGAAGTCCAATATCTTTTCCAAAGATGACTGATGCCGATGCAAAGCCATGATTGATACAATCAATAAAGAGGTTGTAGTAGGCTCTGTGTGAAGGTCCCGATCTGTCGGAAACAATTTTTCCGCTCCGGTTCCTGCTGTATTTTTATCCCGACCACAATACAAAATTCAAAAGAAATGATTCTTTCCACCACTGGTATCTGTAGATTAAACTGTGAGAAGCAGCTAGACTCCCCAGGTCATATGAAGCAATTTTGAAGAACCGTACAACAAGCTCTACACTAAGTTCTTTCAGTTTATAGAACAAAGAGGAGCCCCCAAGGCACTTGAAAACCTTGATTTCCCCATACTAAATGATGTATATTACTTACTATCATAGATACTCGTCATCTGCAAAAATTCTGAAAAGAAGACGAATTGCTGACTCAGAGAGATGACTGGCCAGGAATTGCATTCTTATTTGATGGACAACTGCTGGTCTAAGGAGGATTGCTGGCCCAGGTTGATTGATTGATTGATTGATTCATAGACTGTCCCCAGAGGTCCTTAGGCAGCTATGTAGCGCACTACGAAACATAGTTACAGGAGTTTCTGCTCTTTTCCTTGGAAATTCGGTTATTCTTGCCGAAAGGTTTCAGTTGGGGCGCTGGTTATTTCTGCAAGAATCACTTCTTTTCCACTTGAGCTTCCTCTACCCATAGTCTTTCTACCAGTCCTGTATCTCTGTTTTGTTAGGTCTTTCCTGACCCTCCTCAACTTCTGTCTACTGGTTTTACACTCGCATGGGAGTTATATTGGAGTACTGTGGGCAGGACTGCCTGGAATCGATCCATGAGACCTGTCTTGATCATCATCTTTGCTGCTTGTACCGCCATTGACAAGCTACAAAGGATGCGTTTGATGTCCACACATGGGGGCTTGCCTGCCCACATTCAATGTCATTCTGCTGCCCAGTTCCAGCATTCCAGGAGGATGTGTCGCACGGTCTGCGGTCCGTAGCCGCATTGGCATTCATCGGTGTCAGCCTTACTGATGTCATGAAGATATGCATGGAGGTCGATCTTGCCTGTACTGCTTATGATCATGTCCGCAGGGAGGGCAATGTTTCCAGGAGAGCGATGCAAACGGTGCGCGCGCCCAAAGAACAGACCCGTTTCAGGAAATCCATAGCACCTGCTTTTTCACCACAGCAGGAACTTAAATAAATCCAGAGCCGTTTCTGTATCACGAGCTGTATTTCTGTATCACGAGCTGTACTTGCATCTCATTGTTCTCTGGTTCCCCTCTTGCTCTCAAGATGCATAAACACCATACACTGGTGTCTATCAATCAAATAGATGTCATCCTTACAACCACCCACGAACTAGCGTTGTGAACCCGACCGGCGAAAATAACACGCTTAACTAAACCTAGTTAAGTAATTGAGGCATGTTACCCACTATAGGCGCGCCTACTCGCCCCTAAAAACCCAGCAACCCGTTTAATCGGGCAAGCCCCACCACTTTTTCAACCCGACCCGCGAAAAAAACACCACTACTAACTATTTTTCACATATTTTCGAACTCTGTAACTGGTTCAAAATCATTATATATCCTCTGCAGCCTCTCCACACATGTTTTATTGCACAGTTGAGTGCTCTCAATATTCTTCTATCTGATCAAAAATATCAATATAATTTTTAATCAAATCACTGAAGCTGAAATCTGTGATAAATTTTGTCACTGAAATGACTGATAAGAGATAGAGACCGACTGTTATAAACTTATAATATCTTCTTCTATTCTCAAAGAAGTCAGTGTTAATAATCTCACTATTATCCCATTATTGTATAAGTAGTTTAAGAAGACTTGATAATAATAAAATCTATAGTAGAAGACTTTTATTAAATTTATAAAAGCTCTAAATAGATATGTAAAAGAAAAGAAATAGCTCATTAAAAGTTTTGGGTATAAAAAGCTTAGTTAACCGATTTTTTGACTAGTAAGCAATTCTATGAGCCCTTATTCGACCACCAGGTAGCGGGGACGGTGCGTGGGTTGAAAAAAAGAAGTAATTATGCAAATGAGTATTAATATTGCAATGCAACATATATAACACTATCAAGTATACCATTTATATATTTAATATATGCAAAAAATAGTTTAAATAATTAGATTTATATGTTCAAAAGTTATAAAGATATAATAGCTTAACCGTGCCATGCTTACTCACTCTCTCTAGTGAGTGCGCCACAGCGTACGGAAAACCACAGCGTACGGAAAATATTATCAATATCTTCATTCTTCATCTTCAAATAATCATCATTAATTATAACCATGCCTAAATCTTCTAATTACACTGAGGAGCAGTTGCAAAGAGCTGTTGACGCGTACAAAAGCAATTCAAAATTAAAAATCACATCTCTGTCGCGAGAATTCAAAGTCCCATATGCCACCTTGTATGGGAGGATCAACGGGAAGAAATCAAGGACTATGAGGGTTCCACTGAATAGAGCATTGAATGACAGCCAGGAGGAGGCAATTAAGATATGGATTCATCAGTTGGATATTAATTTTTGCCCGCCCACCATCGAGCATATCGAAGCCGCCGCGAACCGCATGTTGAGACAGCATCATACAGATCCAGAGACCGCACCTCCCACAGTAAGCAAGATGTGGGCATATCGATTCATCAAACACCTGCCAGATTACGAACGGGTCAAGCAAAAGCCCATGAATCCAAAACGGGTGTCTTGCGAGGATATAAGCTTCATTATCAACTGGTTTGATCGATATGAAGCTGTCTTCAATCAATATCACTTTTTCCCCTGCGATATCTACAACTTTGATGAGATTGGATTTCAAGAAGGAGAAGGACGTGGACAGTGGGTTATAACCGCCTTTAGAGACACAAATTCCGTCATACAGTCATCATACTCCCGCGGGTTAATAACAGTGGTGGAGTGTGTCAGTGCAGATGGCACAGTATTGGATCCATTGATTATAATGAAATCGAAGGTCCATCTAGAGGATTGGTATACACACTCCAACTTACCTGACAACTACACCATCACCGCATCCGAGTCTGGCTTTATAAATGATGAGATTGGATTTGAATGGATCAAGCGGTTCAATAAGATGACAAAAAAGCGTCAAATGGGCAGTCATCGACTGCTATTAATGGACAATCATGGTTCTCATCTCACAGAAGAATTCATCCAATACTGCGACCTCCATAAGATTATTCTATTCGGATTCCCATCTCATACAAGTCATATTCTACAACCTCTTGATGGCGTACCTTTTCAGCAGTATAAGCATTATCATACAAAGGCAGTTAATGAGGCCGCCCGCTACGGATATGAGCAGTATGGTGGCAGACAATTCCTTGCTAATCTGGAGAGCGTCCGACTGCAAGCATTCAAACCTGGCACTGTGAGAGCTGGCTTTGCCGACCGCGGAATGTATCCAGTTAATCGCGATATAATTCTCAATCGATTGAGACCTCTTACCATTGATGATGCCCCGGATCTCAACATATACGATGGCGATGGTGATGTATGCAATCACTTTACCCCGCCGCCTGCAGATCGACCGTCAACTGCCTCTTTGCAATTAACCTCCCCAGAGACAGTTGCAAAACTACATCGCCAAATCGATGCAGCAGCCAAGGCCTTACAAGATGTGAAGGATACCCTTACACCTGGTTTGACAAGGCGGTTGGACAAGATCTTCAAGGGTAGCATGGTCCAGGCGGAATTGAACGCGCACCGTGAGGGTGAACTTGCAGGTCATTATCGAGCAAATAGACGTCGGGTCGTCAAATCCTCCCGCAGGCAGGTGCAAGTAGGCGGAGTCCTCACTATTAAGGATGCCAATCGCAAGATCGCGACCCGTAGAGCAGATGAGATGAAAAAGACGTTCAATAAGAATCTTCGGTCGATTGGAATCAAACCTACAAAATCTACAGCCACTCAACCACAACAAGATAATTCTATAGAATCTCAACCTACAGTGGATTCTACACCTTCTAATGAGTATATAGATAATCTTTATGTTATAGATAGATGTGGTGGTGGTTATTAATTAATTTTCGAAGATCACTATATTCAAAATATTTTCCGTACGCTGTGGTTTTCCGTACGCACGCTGGTACGCACACTGTGGCGCACTCACTAGAGAGAGTGAGTAAGCATGGCACGGTTATATGGTTTCTACGCTAACGCCGCAGGTGTTTGACCGCGGTACACCACCACGGCTCATGGTATGTATATACATCACTATGAGCGCAACCATTTGGCAAATAGTTAAGTTAGCTTTTGCTATAGATAATTTAATGGACATAGTATTATTTTATCATATTTATTTGATGATATAATTTTTGACAGTTAATTAATGTAGTTCATCACTTTTTTATTCATATTATATTCTACGATATGATTTACAATGTTTCAAAGTTACTATCAACACTTCAACCTATAATGAAGAAAAAAGAATAGTGAAAATATATTTATTTTAACTTTTTTAAAAGTTAAATACTTCAACTTCAAAGTCAAAAATTAACTTAGAAGCTACTGCTTACATATCTAATAAACAATATTTGTATCTTTATATTGAGATTGAAAATTAATAGTTTATATTATAGATTAATTAATAATTTAATATCGATTCATTATCCGGGCCCTTCTGTTCGTATGGTAACATAGCACTATAACCACGAGGTTATCTATAGCAAAAGGTCAACGTAACCATTTGTTAAATGGTTGCGCTCATAGTGGTGTATATACTTGTGGGAGTGGTGCTGTGGCCCGGCCCACGGCGGTCATGGCTATTTTTATCCCACCGGTTATATACACGGCAACCGCCAGCCGCAGCATAGTATAGAAACAACAATTTAATATAACTACTAGTTGACTATATATAAAAATAAAGTTATTCAAACATTATATAAATACTTTATTTTTATTAAATTAAAATTGTTTTAATTCTTTTTTTTATATTGACAGATTTAAATACGTACTTTAAACTAACTAGTTAGTTAATGATTATAAGTTATCTAAGCTAATTTTCAAAAAATTTGTTATTTGTTACAGTTTTATATTATTCAATTATAAGTTAAAATTGAGACTTTGAACTGTATATTATACAATTTTATAATAACTATCAATAATATAATTTTTATAAAAAAGTGAAAGAATAACTTAGTGTTAGAAACTATTTGACTTATTATTCAGTGCAAAAACCACGCCGCCCAGGCCCCATCATGTTTACGCAATTTCTACATTTAGGGTCTTGAAGAGTACATTCTTCATTTTTGTGACAATAGTACGTTGTGCACGCTAGTGCTGAGGTACGTGAGAGAATGTTAATATTTTTAGACTTCAATTTCATAGTATCACTTGAAGATTCGGATTTTTCTGAAGTAATACTAGATGAAATCAACTCTTGCGATGGATTCCAAATCTCATTTTCATCAACTAAAGAATCAAAATTTGTTGTCTGAGATAATAGCTTCAACTCATCTTTATTTAAATACAATTTACTTAGTCTGATATAATCCTCTTTAGAAAGAGGTTTATAATCAATAACTTGATTATTTTCATCAAATGATCGTAAAATCCCTTTATTATCAAGGTAAAAATATCCTGTAATTTTACTTTTCATTTCATTGATGATAGGAGCTAATGTATTCCTTGCAGCTATTTGTGGTTTCTATATAGCAATATTATTTTAGTATAAAGATTGTCGAATATCTTTCGAAAACTTTTTATTAGTACTTACTAAAGTTCCTTGAGCTATTGCATTTGAAATAAGACTGAAATTGATAATAATCAATTGAAAAACTTTCATGTTAAACTTTAAATATAGAATAAATAAACAGTAATAAACTATTCAGAATTAAAATAATAAATTCAAATTTAATATAAAATATAAAATACGAAGTTAAGTACCCACTTTATGGAGAATATACATTTATTTATATTTAATACTTTGAACCTTTCCCCATTTCTCCGCAGTATAATTCTTAAAAAATAAATACATCTATACTCTATAATATTTAAAAGTTAATAACCCTTAAACTCAATAGTAAAAATAAAAATATGTAATTAATATATAATATATTTTATCAAATAATCATTAAGATTTTTTTTATTTTATTAGTTCTATTTTATACTCATAAAATTAATATAGTTTGATCTACTGCAGGGTAAAAAAGCTTTTTTATCACCAATACTATATTGACAGTTGAAACGGCAAATTGTCGAGTTTAATCCCTTTAATAATCTACTATATTTATCAAGTCATTTAAATTAATATAATTCACGCTATATTCTTGTTAACCTTACTATATGATATTGACCTCTATTCATATTAGTAGGCCATTAAGACAAAGAAAATTAATCATTAATTATCATCTGTAAAATCTACGAATGAGTGCAACTGGCGGTTGTAGTGCATGGGCGGTGAGATGGGTGGCTATAACCGTTGTGGGCTGGGCCACACCGCCGACCGGTAGCTTTACCACTATGAGCACAACCATTTAGCAAATGGTCACCGTGCTAGCTTATCACAAATATTGTAAACAGCCGCGATTTATTTCAGCGGCCACTACTGGTTCTCATTATATTTTTATTACCGTTACTTTAAATGTAATTGTCGCCGTTATTTCTTATCATATAACTTGTTGTTGTTGTTGTTCTTCATATTTTTTCTAAGGCCATATGCAGTCTGAGACTATGACAGCCTTCACCTCACTAGCCTACCCTCATGTTCGGCTACTCTCTAGTTACATTTCCCTATTCATAACTGAGTCATCTTTGATGGAGAGACTTCACTATATCATTCTGGATCTAGCCCTCAAGGGGGGCCTTGCCCCACAATTGCTCACACAATACTAATAAGGGCGTGTTCGGTTGTCCTGTTTAACCTCGTGTAAGGTCATATAAGAGACCCACTTCTCTGGTCTGTATGCTCTTACACACTCAAATACACTCTTACACAGCTTTACCTACTCAAAAACATCTAGTATTTTCTATATTCCCCACTTATACAGAATTAGACTTCAATCAGTTATTTAGACTGAAAAGTGGAGAATTTTAACTGAAATAGATTAGATAAAAAGTGTATAAGATCATGTAAGCTACACACATTTATTAGGGTGTGTTCGGTTGCACGTACAATCTCACAAAACCTGCACGCAAAAAGTGGATATTAATACCATTATTACCATTTTAGCATGCTGCTGGTGTCATATTCAGAGGCTTACTACATATCTTACTAAACATCTAGGGCCCTGATTATAGAGAGTCCCCCCCACTTACACAACCTTACACAAGGTAAAACCATCTCATGAGAAGGTCTTAGATGTGTGTAGCTTACATGACCTTATACACCCTCTATCTAGCCTATTTCAGTTAGAATTCTCCACTTTTCAGTCTAAATAGCTGGTTGAAGTCTAATCCTGTGTAAGTGGGGAAGATAGAAAATACTAGATGTTTTTGAGTAGGTAAAGCTGTGTAAGAGTGCATACAGACCAGAGAAGTGGGTCGCTTATAAGACCTTACACGAGGTTAAACAGGACAACCGAACACGCCCTTAAAAGTGTGTTCAATTGCATGTACAATCTCACAAAACCTGTACAGAATATGTAAAAAGTGGATATTTAATACCATTATTACCATTTTAGTATGTTGCTGATGTCATATTCAGAGGCTTATTAAATATCTTATTAAACATTTAAAGCTCTGATTATAGAAAGTCCCTCTCATTTACACAATCTTACACAAGATAAAACCATTAAAAAGGTTTTAAATGTGTGTAACTTACATGATCTTATACATCTTTTATCTAATTATTTCAGTTAGAATTCTCCACTTTTCAGTCTAAATAGCTGATTGAAGTCTAATTCTGTGTAAGTGGGGACTATAGAAAATATTAGATGTTTTTGAGTAGATAAAGCTGTGTAAGAGTGTATTTGAATGTGTAAGAGCATACAGACCAGAGAAGTGGGTCTCTTAATAAGACCTTACATGAGGTTAAACAGAACAACCGAACACGCTCTAAGTGGGGGGGACTCTCTATAACTAACGTAATTCCCAAGCGAGCGAGCAGCCAAATTCTTCCACCTACTAATTTACCTACTCATCCACTTCAACGCGCAATTATGCCACCAATTCGCTCTAAAGATGCTAGGAACTCTATAGCGGGTGACGTGCCTCAAGTACTTAACTAGGTTTAGTTAAGTCTCTATGAGCCTGCACATGGGCCTGGGTTCACAACCCTAGTGGTGATGTGGCATCAGCAAGCATTAGAGATGATAACAATAATGAACTAAAATTCATTCTTAATAAGAGCCTCCATCACTATTTGTGTTGAATGTACTGTATATATAGAAAATTAGTTGGGAGATAGAATATATTTATTTAATTGAGCATCCAGTTAAACAAGGTGTGGTTCAAATTTTCGGCCAGAAAGACTCATAACTATAGGGTAAAAATGTCACTCCGTTCAATCAATAATATATAACTATTAGTTATCTCTAAGGGATTTTCAATACTTCTTAGACTTTAATTCCCGTAATAATCGCCAAGGGAAGAAAGAGAAGAGAGAAGAAATGAAGAGATGTAGCTACGAAATACTATACATTACAGTAGGGGGGATTTTGAAAAATAGAGATCTCAAACAGAAGATAGATGCAGCATTGAATGCAATGGCTTTCGGTATTCCTAAAATGGTAGAAGAAGGAACTATAGAAGAGATGGTTTTAAAGAAAAGTGTTGAAACGATAGGAACCTATCTCCGAACCTGATACCAATCGATAATGCAATATATAGTGTTGAAAAATCTTCTGTTACTTTTATCTTTTATCTTTAAGATTTTTGAATATTTAATATCAGTACTGAGAAGTATACCCGCAATAATTACTAGTAATCAAACTTTTATCATTAGAACCAGTGCGTGGAAGGATTTATAGTTATTAAATATTGAAGATAGTAAGAACAAAATAGCCGTATGGGAAAAGTACTCACCCATATGGCATCAAACGATCAATTAATATCTTTAAAATGCATGAAATATTCTAAGCTATCAAAATCCGTCATTTTTTTTTTCTTTTTTTGCGTGAAATTAAGCACCTGCTGGGCGATACGGTACATACAATGCTATACCGTTACAATACTAGCTAGTAGCATCTATCAGAAAGTTCAATTTCGTCCTCGAAGATTTGGCATCGACAGCTTGAACATCTGTTGATGAAGGTTATCAAATGCTTTATTAAACGGTGTGAAATGCATTGAGATTTTCAATATCAAAGAAATGGAAAAGAAGGAACTTTGTAAATCTGATCAGCTTGCAAATGCAAAAATCAAAAATTACACTACTTGTTACAGTACATAATATCTAGTGAATATCTGTAATGAGTGTGCTAATTTCTACAAGGAATGAATTGACTAAGAATGAGAATGAGAATGGAAATGAAAATGAAAATGAAAATGAAAATGAAAAGAAAAGAGTGTAGGGAAAGAATTTTATCCAAAAAAGAGCCAGGGTGGGGGGATATTAGAGATTTTTACCAAGAAGAATATTGGATATGATGAAATTGTAAAACATAGAAATCATAGAAGTAGTTAGAGATTTCATCGTGAACAGAGTAAGGAATGGTGGAACATTAGTCCTTCCCAAAAGGGGTAATTGTTGATTGTGTAAGTTAATTGACTAGTTAAATGGCATTCGCCCATTACAAGCAATGGCAAAAGGACATTTGTAGAAGAGAAGGATACAATTGAAAGGGCCCACAATCACCTATAGAAGGACGGAATGAATAATGCAGCTATTTGATGCTCATGGTTCTTACTGATGCACACCTTGTCAGTAGAGGAGGATCTTTTGCTTGAGAACATGACTAACCCGGTGTCCGTAAAGACCTGTTATCGACCGGTGGGAAATTATTACCTGTCGGTGGAGGAATCGTTTATGATTGATCTTGATTTGTTCTTATTCTAATTTGCATTCACGGCTTGTAGAGCTTTTTCAGGTTATCTCTAGGTGGGGAGCTGGGGCAGGAAAGCAATTCAAAATGGGGTAGGTACAAAGCATGGATGAAATGGTGGCTCATCTCTAATTCCAACCTACATTGTATCCAGTGGGAGGAGCGGTGTTTTTTGTTTCCGGTACGGCGGAGCAAGCTGCCGGCCAACCAAACAGGCTTTCCAGGTGCACATCCGACATCATGGCCGCGAAAAAAAGTGCATACCACGATTAACTTAACTGGAGTAAGGGACAGCCGATATGGCTGCACTGCTTGAGCAATAGGGAGTTCGTCCAGGACAGAGTGCATTTATGTAGGTGGGCGATAAAAGCTGGTTACACTATCTATGTAAACGAGAACAAGAACCCCTTCAGATATACATGCGTTGGTTTAAGATAAATTTCCCATGTGTGGAGTGTTAGTATGGTAGAGATCGGATGGCTCCAGGGATGACGTCCAGCAGAGTAGGGAAGCAGAGCTGGTGACTAATGGTGTGCTGTTCCTAGTTAGCAATAGATGAGATATCAGTGACCTGAAATCAAGCGGGAACTCTTGAAGTTGAGTATGATACATAGCTGGGTATCGAACAGTTATCGCCTGGAGATCTTTGCGCCAGCTAGGCATATATCTCCGCTGCCTCTGGTGGTTTGAAATAAAAGAGATAATACGCCATTACCTCCTTCCCTCGTGGTGACTGACGAGCCAACCTCCACGCGATCGTCATATTCATCTCTCTTACTGGGCGATCCAATAGAGTGCGCACCAACTGATGTTCCAGCCTCTGATATCAAGCGCTGCAACACGAAGGCCTGCCCTATCACAATTCATGGCGTTGAAGAGCTCGAAATAAATTTTTGAGTTCAAATAAAGTACTCTCTTTGGCCTCTCATGGCTGGTGCTGCAATTGCAAATAACTTATTAGGTGGGAGTTCGATATTTTTGATACCGACGTTCACATACGAATCTATTTTTTTCTCATTCATCATTGAATCGATCACATCGTGACCCTGTACTCCGTAAACGTATCGGAATACCATTGAAACGTTATCGGAAGCTGATACTGTAATAAGTTCCCTAGCGTTTTACGAATCGCTTGCGTTACGATTCGAGCTCTCTATATTTTCCCGCAGCTTCTAATCCATGTGTCAGGAAACCATCGAGCGATGAGTTGCTTCTTTGTTCAATTCTTGTTCTTTCAAATTAGATTCGGATATCATTCTAAGAATTTCCCTGGCTCTTGTTGCGAGAACACAGGACTTCAAGGGCTATGGCGAGAGGAGTATTTCTAGGGAAGCCGACACACTTCTCATGCGAAACTTGAACAGATTATCAGAAAAGCAATTGGAAGTTTGGGTTTTAGGATCGATTTCATATTGATATATCACCTAGTGTGAACCAATTGACGTTTGTAGGTGTGCTGAATATCACACTAGTTCCGGATAACGCGTTGTAGGGTGGGTAAACGCATGTTGTATTCTCCCTTTGGAAGCGAATATCGCATGTTGTAAATCGCAGTATTAGAAGATATTCCCGAGTTGGCTTTGGGAGAAGATGTATAATACCAAGGAATCCAGAAATGGGCTTAGATAGTAATGACCGATAACAGCTTTCAACCTTAAGATTCCTTTTGGGATCAGAAATTGTGGTGGTAATAGAGACAGTCGATGCCTTAACCCTAGGTCTAATGACAGGAACGCTCCGCGAAGACTCAGAGGGTACACTCATTCCTCTTGTAGTACCGAACCGACGACGATAGTCCCTTTCCTCCTGGGGTCGAGTAGTATTTCCCTGGAATGCAACTTTCATAGATGTGAAGCCAGAGATTCCCCGTGGCAGGATACCGGTACGTAGTCAGCGTCCCCGCCCCAGCACCCGGCGTATTGATTTGAGAGGTCTTTGCGTAGAGGAAGCTAACATCATGAACTACTTTATAGGAAGTATAAAGTGGGAAGAAAGGATCAAGATTCTGGAAGGGCCAACTTCCTATTGATTTGGAACATAACTAGCTCTAGCGGTTTTGAACTGGTTTGCTTATTAACAAAGGTTATGATTTATAAGAAGAAGTTGCCGTCGCTTGCCATTGTAGGCGAAATCCACCGGAGAGAGAGTGTCTAAATTTCTATTGAGATTCCCTTGCCGGCCTAGAATGATTCTAATATGGCGACTACAAGGAGCAGTACGGAGTACTTACATCGCGAATCCGTGGGGGCCTAGTCTCTGTAACTTATTCCGTAGGAAATATAGCCAGGGATTCCTTGAAATGGGCCCATGGTAGGGAGATCCCTTAGACATGGATGTGTGAAGTAGCTTGGACTTAGCTTGTCGCACTGTTAGCAGAAAGAGATTAGGCGTAGGTTCATTTACCGTAGGGGGATTTTTCTGTTGATTGTGGAGTCTAAAATAGTGCTCGTAGTAAAATTTCAAGGAGCGGTACTGGGTAGCAGGGCCCTTGAACATGTTCGATTCAAACTACGGAGTACAGAATAGAGATTGAAGAGATGTCGTTGATATGAGGTTAGATTCGATTTCGTGCTTTCGGAGGCCTAAGAACTCGACTCCGCCATGAACATAACCTTTCATGGTCATCGTCTGTGCAGCTTATGAATAATAATAATAATAATAATAATAATAATAATAATAATACGCGGGGCTGGACGAACACCGAACTAGGTTCTCCCCGAAAGATAGGTTATAGCCCGCAACGAGGAGTTGGCAATTAAGGTATTGAAGGGCATAAAATTCGTTTCGCAAGCGAACGGTGTTACCAGCCGTCGTGTGAAGTGCGATGTCAAGGGTACTAACTAGTATAGCATTGCCATCCAGGGAGAGAACGGGAGAAAGTTTGTTGGAATTTTAAACAAGGCCTTACATAAACGCCAGGATATGGGAAAAGGGTATTTGGAGGGTTGATTGTCTGAATTCCTTGGACTTCATCGGCGGGAGGCCGTCTTGAAATACCTTGGTCAAGAAAAATTAAGATGGAGATGAAAGTACCTGGCTGATACAAGAAGTGAAAGAATAGTAGCAATTGGTTGAATTGCTGCCAGATGGGACAAAGTCAATGGATGGCCAGACACAGTGATAACCATGATTCCCGTGATTCATGGTGAATCGTCAATAGTGCAGAAGACACCCCGCAGGTGTTTAATACTGTGAATCATGGATAGGATAGGATAGGATAGGATAGGATGGAGTCAACGACGATGGAGTTGGATGAGATCGAGGTAGCTGATGCCAAGCCCCCTTTCCTAATCAGAGTAGGCGGTGGCTGGGCCAAGATGTGGCTGCCAGGGCTGAGCGCTAAACTTGAAACAGCGACGGAAGAATGATAGTCCGTGGGTCTAAAGGTCACGGGAGGAAACTCTTGGCACTCTTGGCATCTGATCGAACCATCGTCAACAAACCAAACCTTGGAGCATCCGCAACCTTCCAAAGGAATCAGACGTCACGACGCGGCCAGACAGCGGCAATGGGGGGCATCAGACCGCAGGAATATACGACGGACGACGACAAAGCAGCATTACTCCGTGCCACCTCCTGTGCTCCCGGCCAATCCCCTGGCCCTGCGCTGTCCAACTTCGGAACCCTGCTCCACCCTGGTCTCGCCTAGCTCGTCCTCCCAGCCTCTTCTGGCTCCAACCACGCCAGCCAGCAGCTTTCGTGCTTCAGACATATATCTCCGCCTCTCCTCCACCTGTCTCTCAATAGTTCATGGACAGCGGCGGGTTATTCTTTCTCTTTCTCTCTCTTTTTTGTCCGTCCGTTCTACTTCTGTTTGCTCTCCCATTTTTTAGCCGGGGACTTGTTTAACAGTATACCTACTACTTTCTCTCGTTCGCTTCAACCAGCCTTAGCTTACCACATATCTCCTTCGCGTTTACTGGCTAGGCTATATTTATCCTGTCGAATCGATTGGTCCCACCAGATCTAATTCAACTTCTCTGTCGTCATTGGCCCCTTCGCTGCGTACCTCGTACACTATTATTTTTTCTCTGCCCGCCTCGTCCGCTTTTGGTCGAGACAACAACGACGGCGCAAGTATTGTTGCTTGCGTATACCTCTTATTTCACTCGTTTACCCACATTTGTAAAAGACTTATTGCCTAATGTTTTCAATTTTTATCCTTTTGTTCATCAACAATAAATAGATTAGGCAGCTTGGACTAGATATTTCCCCTCTCCGCACTCCCCCGGGTGTCACCATGGTTTCCAAACTATCAAAGCCATCGCAGGTGTCCCAGCATACTGCTGGCATCTTTGCGGATATGTCCGTGGATGGCCCGCCGATAGGGACGCTGGTGGCCATCATTGACCGCGCCAAAAATCTACCCAACAGGAAATCAATGGGCAAGCAGAATCCCTACTGTGCCGCGCGGCTGGGGAAGGAAGCGAAGAAGACAGAAACCGATATGAGAGGCGGCCAGACCCCCAGATGGTGAGTGAGCTGGGATTCATTTTACCGACGTCATATTTTCTTACTTATGATCATGCGATTGCTAACAGATACCCTTCCCATTTTCTAACATGTTTAGGGATCAAGAGTTGCGGTTTACGGTCCACGAATCACCCGATTACACCCAATTGAAAGTGTCCGTCTTCAATGACGATAAGAAAACCGATCTCATCGGTGAAACATGGATTGATATTAAAAACGTTATTATCCCAGGTGGTGGGCAGAATGACTTTTGGCACTCATTGCAGTGCAAGGGGAAATATGCGGGGGATATCAGGATCGAGTTGACCTTCTACGACACCCGCCCCAAGGATGCGGCGGTTATCGAGAGGAGAAAGGAAACGGAAAAAGTAGAGGCAAAGACAGAAACTGTGCAATCAGGTCTCTCTGGTCCCCGTCAGGCGAAACCACCCAAAAGAAGGCCTCTCCCAGCAGACCCAACTGGCTCGTCTCTCGCTCGCCCGTCTTCATCTGATCATGCTCGCCCTTCATCTCGAGACAACCACCCTACCCCAACTCGACAACAAATACAAGCCCAACCTCAGCCCCAACCCCACCCGCAATCACAACCGCATCCGCAGCCTCCGACGCAGATTCCACGGACATACGAAACTCCCGATGATTTTAATCGTTCATGGGGCCCTCCGCCCCCAACAGTTGTTTCGAAGCAAACCCCTCCCATGCCTCAATCTTATCAACGCCCACCCCCGCGAGAGGTTCAAGAGTTACCAGCTGATCAGTACGAACGTCAACCTCCACCCCCAATGCCGCTTCCTCGAGAGATGGCGTATCCTCAAGAACCGGAGTATAACCACCATGTCCACAATAATCCGCATCAACCGCTTGACCACGGCCGGCAGCGTTCTCTCGAACAAAATGGATATGAATATCCTGCTGAACCAACCCAACGTTCCCGGGATGCCTATCAGACACCTCCCCGACAACATAGCTACATTATGCCTGCGCCAGAAAATTACAGTGGTGGCCCACCCTCATATCCTCCTCCTTCCAGTGGTTCTCCATACGGTGCTGTGGAATCGCAGCCACAAGTTCCGGAGCCCTCCTCACAATCTCTAGTCATGACTAATGCTGGTGATCGCCGTAGCCCCTACCACCAGCATAGTTCCTCTCATTCAAACAATGATTCCTTCCTTGAAGCCCCGTTACGCAATTCCGTGAACCAAACGGACTTCCATCCCCGCCATGAATACAGGCAGCCGCATGTTCAGGATGAGGATGAAGATGGACCGCCTCCCCCACCCCCAGTGCATCGCCAAGGCTTCCAACAGCACCAACAGCAGCACCACCAACAACAACACTCTAGCCCACCACCACTTGTGGAGTACTCTCAAAATGAAACGGGCGCCATACCAATGCCGGATGCTCTCAATTTAGGCCCAGGCAGAACCTCCCCCATGGACGACCAGCAGACATACGTTGCGTACTCTCCAAGTTACGAGAATCAGAATTTCTCATCTGCAGAAACAGAGCCCGTTTATTCAACTTCCCCGACGCCTTCGAACAACAATAGCTACAGGCATGATAGGGGACGTTCTCAGGACCGACCTAGCACATCAAACGGGGAGACTGTCCCATCAGCCTTAAGACCTGGCTACGAAGCGCCTGATGTAGACGAAGGGGACCGAAACATGTATAATGGCCATCCCGAGCGCCAGCAGAGTTATGTCCGGCCACCACCCCCTCAACCAACGCCACCATCTCAACTCGTGCGAGTATCTCCAAGTATTGTGGCTGAGCGGCCGCATCGAACAACCCCTGACCTCCGACATGTCCCTCCCCGCAAATCCCTTAGCCCCCATCCGTCTCCTTCAGAGGAGCCCGGTACCTTAGACGGGATTCCATTTTCGCCAGACTCTTTCGACGCCCTGAATCCTCACATATCAACGGCCTCCGCACTTCAACAACCGGCTCCTCCATACGGAACTCCTGAGGGCGCTATGGAAGCCGCCCGGCAGCGAGAGGTGGAGAAGTTGCGGGATCTAGGTCCGATAATTGGTAATGACGGTCGGGTTATTGATCCGTCTGACCATTTACCCACGGACACCTGGGCACCAGAGCCAGAACGCAAATCGCGGAAACCGGAGATAGTCGTGCGATTCAAGCACGCGCCACAGAACTCGACGCGGTTCTCGCCACGCGAATCAACTGCAACTCGGTCATCATTGTCCTCTTCCGCAAAGGTTACAAAGGCGCGTCCACATTCGATGGCTCCTGTCCAATCATATTCCCACGGCCATTCACCCAACCCTCCACCCCAACAAACTATCAACTCGAATTCCACCCCTCAAAGCCTGGCTCACCTCCAACAACAAGGTGCCCGCCCCTACTCGTATATACAACCAAGTACTGTCGCCAGTGGCAACGATCTTATGTACACGCAGAATCGCAATCACAACCACCCCCATTCCCCATCCCAACGGCCAAACAACGCCTTCAGCGTCAGTGAACGCAATTCGTACGGGTATAATGGGAATCATAATACAAATACACCGCCGTATGCCAACCACAGCCACAACCCGCGCACGTCCGTCTCCCCTTCTCCCATCCCAGCATCACATCATCCTCAGTTCCCCTCGAATCACCAGCCTCCACGCCACTCCCACTCCCACTCCCACTATCATTCACATTCTCCGACATCAAGTTCGATTTCCACGGCTCCTCCAATCCCCGCAAAAGTCCCTGTGCACAGCAGCGGAAGCGGCGGCGGAGGGGAGCTGGACGCGTTAAGTGAGGAGATGCGGAGGATTGATATTGGTGTCTCTTGTGGTGGCGTTGGAGGGGCCGGGAACGCGGGGAGGAGGGGGAGGGCGAGGGTGTCCTATGCTGGGAGTGGGGGACCGGGATATGCAGGGTGATTGCTCTTTTTTGGTTGCGTTTAATTTTGTTTGATTTGATCTGATTTGAGAGGTTTACTATGCCTACGTGGATGTTTGGGATGTATTTGAATTAGGGTGGGTGGGCATGGTTTTGGCTTGGGTCGGTTCTGGTTGGACTTGGTTTGAGTCGATTAGAGCATATCCCTTTTTTGGAGTTTTATTTTTGTTTGATTTAAAGGAAGGCGGCGGTGCTTGTTCATTATTTTGGCTGGGGCCGGATTTATCTATATTCTTTAGCTTGGTATCGGAATGTATACTGGACCGGAACAACATTATCCCGTCCCGACTAAATTTCTCGATAGAAAAACATCAATCGAACAACCTCAACATGACCTGGTTGTAGCTATCTAGTTCTACACAATCTATCGACAATCATATGCAAGCCGGGAACCCCAGTGACGCCATGCATTATACGTTTGCTTGCTAGATCCTACTCAACTCCACCCTCCCATCGCCAATTCCCCAACACCACCACCTCGCCAGATCATCAAATGGCGGCCCCCGTTCTCCCGCTCCCGCAAACAAAACTCCCCTCAATCCCCTCCACCCGCCTAACCCCCGAGCAGCAATACTGGCGCTCCTTCAAGAACCCCCTCCTCCTGCCCTCCCCGTCCAACAGCCCCATAAACCACATCTCCCAACCCTCCCTCCCCTCCCCCGCCTCCTCCTTCACCACCTCCGCAGCCAGCAGCCCAGCAGCGCCCCCAGACCTCTTCACCGTCACCACCGGCGCCCGCGTCCAACTCTACTCAATCCGCACACGCAAGCTTCTAAAAACCATCACCCGTTTCGACGATATCTCCCGCTGCGCCTCCGTGCGCGCCGACGGCCGCGTCCTCGCCGCCTCCGACGACGGCGGCACCATCCAAGTCTTCGACATCCACTCCCGCGCCATCCTCAAGACTTGGCGCGAGCACAAACAGCCCGTCTGGGCCGTGCAGTTTTCTCCCGCGAACCCAACGGCGCTGGTCAGCGCGAGCGACGACCGTACGGTCCGGCTGTGGGATCTGCCTAGCGAGAGCAGCGTGCGCACGTTCGTGGGGCATGCGGACTATGTGCGGTGTGCGGGGTTTATGCCTGCGGCTGGCGGAGGGAGGGGGGGTGATTTGCTCTATTCGGGTGGGTATGATGGGTTGGTGAAGGTGTGGGATTCGCGAGCGGCGACGGCGGCGGGCCCTGGAGGCGGGGGCAGGAGTGTAATGACGTTTAAGATGCGGGCGCCGGTGGAGAGTGTGTTGCCGTTGACGGCGGGGACGACGGTGCTTGCGGCGGCGGAAAATAAGATTGCGGTGCTGGATGTTGTGGCGGGGAAGCCACTGCATGTTATCAAAAGCCATCAGAAGACGGTTACGGCGCTGTCGTTGGCGTCGGGGGGTAGGAGGTTAGTTAGTGGCGCGCTGGATGGGCATATGAAAGTGTTCGAGACTACGGGGTGGAATGTTGTAGGCGGGAGTAAATACCCGTCTCCCATTTTGTCCCTGGGCGTCATTACCACTGGCTCGGACAGGGAGGACAAGCATATCGCGGTCGGCATGCAATCTGGCCTGCTCTCCATCCGCACGCGGCTATCGGGTGAGCAGAAGGTGCGCGAGCGAGAGCGGCAGAGAGAGATGCAGGCGCTGCTCGATGGCAAGCTAGACGAACACGACAAGCGCATGGCAAAGAAACAGAAACAGAAGCGCGGCAAGGGCTGGGAGAAGCGTCTGCGTGGCATGGATTTTGTCGGGGAAGGGGTTGATATCGTCATCGATGCCCAGGAGCCCTCCGCCTCGGCGCGGAAGCGCAAGCGGGAACAGCCCTGGGAACTCGACCTGCGGAAGGGCCGCTATGCCGCTGCTCTTGATGCGGTCCTGTGCCCACCCAACACCAACGACGCCACCCCGACGAACAGCAGGCTCAACACCCTAACCCTCCTCACGGCGCTACGACACCGCTCCGCCCTCCGCACGGCGCTCAGTGGGCGCGATGAAGTCACGTTGCAACCCGTGTTACAGTGGGTGTATAAATCCATCACAGACCCGAGAGTTGTGGATATGTGTGTTGAGGTTGCGATGAACATACTGGATATTTACTCGGGGAACCTGGGCCAGTCGGTGGTTTTTGACGGGATGGTAGAGAAGCTCCATGCGCGAGTACGGGAGGAGGTGGATCGTGCACAACAGGCGTGGATGACGAAGGGGATGCTGGGGATGCTGAGTGTATCTTGAAAAACCTGATTTTTTGCCTTGTGCTCTTCGTGTATTGTCTGACTTCCTGAGAGTATCCCTCCCATCTTGGAGAGCCATGGGAGGTAGGTGTTCAGGAGTATTTTGTTCTTTCATTTTTTTCGTGGGATCTCCTCGTTTCCTCTGAAATGCATGGATATTTTCTTTTCCCCCCCGTTTTTAGCGATACCGCTGGGTTTGAAAAGGATGGTGGATAAAAGCAACAGTGCAACTGTGTTCATAGTATAGATTCAGAATAGCATAACTGGGCAAGTGAAGCCTGGTTTATCTTAAATTCATAGAGGACTGCAACGGTCGTTAAAAAGGTCGTTAAAAAAAAAAAAAATCCACCTCCAAGGCGCCTCCCTACAAAGGAGTGCCCAAAACAGAGAGACATATATCAGAGACGAAAACATTGACAAATGAATATCATACACGTCGACATTCATAAATCAGCGTCACTTGCTTCCTCAACTGTGGTTGACACATTTCCCATATCTCCCCAAAAATGCCTGCTTGCAACGTACATCGAAACAACACAATCCAGGCATGCCGCTAACAATATAGTAAATCCGCAATGAAGACATTGATAGGGGAACTCATGCAACTCAGCACCCACAAATCACTTGCTCTCCTCCACTGCAGTAACAGCCAACAGCCGTAAAACCATCTGCCATATTTCCCGTTACTTAATACACCTTCGCAAAGAGCCTCGTAAACCCTTCCCCGGGCTCAGGTTGCAACCAATTCCGCTCGTCATACTTCCACCCCTCTGCCCCCTCAATGACATGAAACGTATACGCAAACCGGCTCCTGTCGCTGGTATTCCGCTCACTCTGATGCAACACATTCCCATGAATGAGCACCAACGACCCAGCTTGGACCTTCAGCAGCTCGAAATCTTCGTCGCGGGGTTCATACGGCTCCTCGTCCCCATTCCCATGATCTTGACCATCACGAGCCTCCGCAGCCAACTCAGCGGCCAGCCCAGGACCGTCCCATTTCACAAACTCCGTGCCGCCGTCCGCTTCGCCGCCAATACACCGCACAAGCCTGCGCTGGATGTTGCCCCGCCGATGACTACCCTTCCACACCCCCAACGCCCCATTCCCCTCCCCGGCATCCTGCAGCGCAATCCACCACCCAACGGCGCTCGGCGGGTCTGTGTACAGGAACTCGCTGTCCTTGTGCGGGTGCACAGCCGCGCCGATGCCGGGCTGCTTGCAGATGACCATGGACTGCAGGACGCGCGGGTCGCGGAAGCCCAGGTCGCGGGCGATGGCGGCGTTACGGGCCCCTGTGCTTATACCATTGTGCGAGTCAGCGGTGGCGGGCGTGGAGGGCACGGTGACCTGAGCAAAGGGCGGGGAGAGGACGTGGAGGGCATGGCCGATTTTATTGACGGAGAGGGCCTTTGGCTTGCGCAGCTCGGGCGGGGAGGAGTTGGGGATGAAGGCGTCCGGCTCGAAGAAGAAATGGATTTTGTTGCCGGAGGTGAGGAAGTATTGGTCGCCGATGTGTTTTGCCTTGGCGTTGTTGGTGCTGTAGCTTGTGTCGTCGTCGGACTCGTCGCCGGTCGTGAAGCAGGTTAGTGGGTGCGAGGCGAGAGGGAAGCGGTCGAGGAGGGCGTGGGTGGTTTGGAGGAGGGAGGAGACTTCGCTGCCGCTGAGGAAGTTGGGGATTACCAGGTAGCCATTCTGGCGGAACGAGGCCAGCTGGAAGGGTGTGAGACCGGGAATGGAAGCGGGCGGAGGGGACGGGGTAGGGGTAGCAGTGGGCATGTTGGACGATGGCCAAGGGCCCTGTTGCGGCGTGCTCTGGGGGTGTGCCGGGAATGATGATGCTGGCTCATATGGCAGCTGGCGATATAGTCCGGGGTAGCTCTGGGGGTAGCTCTTTGGCGGATCTGAAGCCGAAGTTGTTGGAGTTGTTGTTCCAGCTGTTGCAGTTGGAGCCTTGGATGAGTTAGGGCTAGGATCTTATCTAATCTGATCCGGGGAACTTAGCTTACTACAGAATACAGTTGTAAAGGGAGTGCAACTGGGAGCGGACCTGCGATGGAGGGTGTTGAGATAGAGGAGGGCATATTCGCTTGTTAGAGACGATATATTCCCGTTTTCTCAATCCCTAGCTATATATCCAGGGGTATCCCGAAAGCCAGAATGCGCTATAAACCCAATCACTGTGTACTGAAGGGGCAGACCAAAAAATTATACCGGGCTATTCAAAATAAGAGTCTCTCATCATAGAATATATATAAGAGGAAACCTGGGCGATAGCTGACGCCATAGCACATCCATTCCCATCCCATCCCATCCCATCATCAGAGGAATAATGTAATCCACAAAATCATTACCTTCGAGCTTCCGAGATAGATCGCAATTTATGGTATCGTTAGTTCATGATTCAAGGGGGCTCCACTTCGCTGCCCCGAGTCCTGACTTGCCATGCCATGCGCCATGCCATATCATATCAGGCAGCACTCCTGCCAGTGCCCGGTAGTCTAATTCTGCCCTCTCCATACTTCCTCTTGACTTTTTCAATCAATGCCGGAAGACTGTATGTCCAGTGACAAACCATTCCAGCAAGGAAACCAATCCCATCGTTCTTAAACGCGACCAGCATACCCACCGTGACCATCATGACCGTCCATCTCTGCTTCTTCTCGGCGTCGCTCAGACCGCTCCCGGACCGCCCTAACCCAGACGCATTCCCGGAACCCGGGTGTTTGGTCAAATCCCATGCGCGGGCCGTATTCAAGCTCTCGCCCACACTCGCTAGCTCAAGCCCAGCGGCAATGACCATCACGCCCAGGAAAGATCTGGGAAACCGCTGTAGTAGGCCAACCAGGGTGTTTCCAAAAAAGAGGCCTACAATTAACTTGAAGGTGCCGAGGAGAATGATACTCGCCCCGCTCCGAGCGCCAAATCGATACTGAGCTGCTAGCCCGCCAGAGCCATGGCACACTGGCATCGCACCAAACCAGCAGCCTAGCAGATTCATGCCAGCAACGCTGAACCCGATTGCTGTCGTCGACGGCGTCTGCACCTCTGGCAACAGATCACCAGCCAGATACACAACAGCAACGATAGAGTTGAGCGTCGTCAATGGGATCTGGCCAATGCCAGCATCAACAATACCAACTCTCCACTCATTGCCGACGGGCGTAAAAACACCAGGCTTCCAAATGCCAAAGGACGGCAGTCTCCCATGTGACGAAGAGGCCCCTAACAGCACGAACCCAAAGACAAGCCCGACCACAAACACCACAAGCGCATACGGCACTCGCCGATAGATCCCCGTCAACGCCAGCCCCACAAACGCCACGAGCATCCAGATATAATTGTCCCCCCAGCTCGGCCCCGTCCAGCTCAGCTGGGTCTTCAAACTCGCACCCGCAGAGATGACCAACGACAGTCCCGCGCCCACCTGGATCCCCTTGACGACGGGCGTCGGCACCACGCGCGCAAACCACTTCAGCAGGCCCGTGACGCTGAAGAGGAGGATGCAGGCGCCGACGAAGATGCCCGCAGCCGCGATCTCGCCGGGGGAGAAATGTTTGGCGATGGCCACGGCGGCAATGGCTTTCATGGGCTGCACGGGCAAGGGGATTCCGAAGACCAAGCCAGTGAGGATGTTGTAGAGGCCGGAGAAAATCAGGGTTGCGGGCAAGGAGACGCTGTGGTTTATGGTGAGGGCGGTGAGGAGGGGGAGGAAGGTGCCCAGGTCGCCCAGGGCGCCGGAGAGCTCAGCAAGGGGATTATTGCGAAGGGTTTGGAAGTTGTGACGGGAGTGGGCCAGTTTTGGCCGCTGAAGGCCGAAGTGGAGGGGCATGTTGGCGGTTTAATTTGTTGTTTGTGTCTTATTAGGGGCTAGTGAAGGAGGAAGAGGTGGTTGGCTAGTGGGGAGGGGGGTTTGTTGGAGTGAGAAGGGGTTCGGGACGGCAGCATGGAGGAGAGAGAGATGTCGATGAAGTTGGTCAGGGCTGTGCGTGGAATGATCCGTTTGGCTGGAGCTCAGAGCTTCCTCCGCCGTAGATCTATATAACTAAAATATGGAGTTGATTAGGGCTATTTCCGATGTTTTGGGCGTGTTCATGTGACCCGCACTGCCAGCCCCAACACATTTCCAAACTCTCTCTTGCGATCAACCTATCCACTGTTTACCTGCAAACATCCCAACAGGCCGATTGGGGAAGATCCAGTAACTGTGACGCCATGACGTCTCGTCCGAAACGTCCCCGCCCCAAGATAAGTTGGTGGAAACGGAAGTGGTATGTGTGGCGAGCGAAGGAGAGCCCGTTGAAGCTTCGAGACAGCATTAAACGCCTTCGCCATCACAACAAGCGGCCGAACCTTGCTCTGCTGCGTCTTTTTCTACCTGCCTCTTTGGCTTCATAGCCATATCCAATTCCCGAGCCTCTTCCTCCCCTGCGCCTGGTTGATAATCCCATCCCTTTGCTGGACACGACGATGTGAAGGGAACTTGAAGAATTTACAGGCAATACCCCTCTGGCGCTCGCACGATACTCCGCTGCGCTCTCTTTACCGCATGTACGGGGCGACAATGGCTGGAGAGAGCATGATCGTGGCGATTGGGTATGAAGTTGAATATTTCTGGTATCAAAGCGGGCCTGCTTGGGAACTGGACTGTGTCCCTGATCCACAAGATCCCGACCCTATCCGCTATGCGATTCTTGCCTGCATTGTCGAGTCCATGCCTGAAGCTTTCAATTTCAAGCTCAGCATTGGGATGCGAAGGGATAAAAAGAACCTTCCTCCTGGGGATTGGGATGGTGTAAACAATCCATACGCACCCTACACTTCAGTGGCTGGACCAGAATGGACAAGGCATGTACTCCCTATTGATAAGGACTATCTACGAGACGTTATGCCTGCGAGGATGCTTGATTCGGAAGGAAGACTTGTTCTCCACGAGGAAGCAGAGAGCGAGATTTTCGCAAAGAGAAACATAGTTGCTACCGAGGAAAAGTTTTAGAGGATATAATCCGTCGCCTTCACGGTTGTTCGTTCTGCCAGCCCTATCTGTTGTCGATACAGAGCATTCGAATTCACATGGGGTATCTGAGCTGTGGGAAATTGGATCAGAAAAAAAAACGTCAAGTAGGTCTTCATTCCAACATCACAACGTTTCGAGTCTAGCATATATCATATGTAAAAAAACATTAGAATCAACCGTCACAAAGCATGCCCGAGGATTAATATTCCACAATCAAAGCAGCCACTCGTGTTCCACATATTAGTTCTTGGTTTTAGCAAAAGGGCTGTTCCCATATCGCTTTCCATACACCTCTGCGACCTGATCCAAAACGCGGTCAGCGATGACAATATCCAAACCATTTCTGTTCAACCTTTGAATGGCATCCCTTTCTAGCGGTCCATTGTTTTGATTTATCAGGGTGTTCAGAATAACCATAACATCTTCAGTATCAGTGAAATTTTGTGATGTCGGGGCCTGGCGAAGAGATGCCGGAGATTTGTCTCCAAGCCCCACTCCAATGGCGCTGCCAGTACCCGTAAATGCTCACCAGACCAGAGAACAATATTTTGTTTCTCAGCATCGCTAAAAAGGGATTTGCGAGCAGGCTGAGTGAGTAATAGAGCAACTGAATCATTTATCCAATGCTCTCCAAAGTTCAAATCTCTCCCCACCTCAACCATGACGGTGTGCATCATACGGAGCAGTTCCTCATCAGAAGCATACTCTGGATCGATTATAGCATCAATATCTTCGGTCATTGCACGATTTCGGAAGTATGAAACTGCGAGATAGCCGGCTGGGGATATCATCGTAATAGGAGAAAAGGCATATATCAATTCATTTCCTCCCAATGCCTTGTCCAATGCTTCGAGCCCTAAGTACTGTACAAGTACTTCTTATCAGCGATGGGCTTCAAATGTTCGACGATTTCCACTACCTTTGCTTATTTTTGTTTTGTTGAGGACCAGCTTTTCCTTTTCCATAGCTTCAAGTTCCGAACCTCTCTTCACGGATTGTGTCTGAGTAAGAAATACCTGGTATTCGTCTAGGGTCCCCCTCCCCCACCACCCGCGTTCGTAGCGGGCCGATCCATGTATCGACGTCCTCAAATCCAACGCTTGGTAAGGTGCACCAAGGGTTCCCCTGCTGTTCCGAATTGCTAGATCTTACATCTCCTGAGCATTTGACTGGTTCTTAGAGCAATGATTATGTTGTCCATGATACCAACATCATTTCTTTGCCCAACGTACAACGGATTCCGCGATAGCAATGCCCGTAAAAATTGAAGCCTCGCACATTCAGCTGGGAACTATGTTGGCTGCTGTAAAATTGCATCGGCGGCTAGCACCAACCTGCACCAAGAACCGTAAGTGTTGCTCAACTGGGTCTAGATATCTCCGCAGTACCCCGCGGTCAACGTGATGGCAATACCCCAGAAACTGCAACGGTCTCAATGATAGATGGAATGTGTATTTTAGGCGTCCTGTTGAGCCATCCGCAACTCGGCCGTGAGCCGCGAACGTTGAGGCAGTCGACTTTTAACGTCCTTTGCTAATCACAAACTTACACAGTAACTACATAAGCTTCCACGGATGTTAGAGCTAGTAGTTGAAGTTAAGGTTGTCTACAAAACCATGTCAGTGCTTAACCAAATATATCCTCAACAATGACTTACCCGTGCGTGGGCTGGGGTCAATGGATGAAAGAGAGCTCAGACAAACCCACCGCTTTATGATCCCTTCCCAATAATACCACCTTTTGTTTAATTCCAGGCATTCGCAACATGCATGGCCAGTGTTGCAAGGAGCGGAATTCGCACCTGTTGTCCGGCCCACAAGCCCTTGTTGGATGCTTGTATTGGGGACGAAAAAACATCCCCCCCAGCAAGCTTTTCTGAGTTGAAGTTGAAGCCAGATTAGATTTCCTTCTGAAAAGAACGAGTATGCTCTGTTTTTGGTTTTTGGTTTTGTTTTTGTTTTTTTTTTTTTTTTTCCCTCTAGGGTGTCGTTGGGCCTCTGCAATGCAGAAGAGAGAGGTAGACAAAGAGAGATAGACAAAGGGATCCTCAAGGTCTCAAGGTTTCTCTGTTCGAATTCACGTCTTTGGTCTGTGTTATTCGTCGTTGCTGCATGTCTCGCATATCACACGAATATCAACCCGGGGAAAGGATTTCAGGTCGGATATCTTGATATAAATAAACCACTCCGCGGTAAAAGTTGATCGAATAAGCCGCGGATGTTCATGCTCCAGGTATAGGCAGCTGCAGTATCAGCTATAGAAGAACCTCGATTCCTCCAATTCCTCCCCATTTTCATGCACCAGCAGTCATAGCCATCCTCTGGAGCTCATCTCGAATAGTCTCATCAGCAACACACCAAACACCACCCACCACAGTCCTCTCAACCCAGTCAGCAATGTCGACCAAGCCAACAATCCTCTTAGTCCACGGCGGCTGGCAATCCCCCTCCGTCTGGACGTTCGTGATGCCGCTTCTCGAGAAGGCCGGCTACTCCGTCTGCCCAGTCCTTCTCAAATCGCCAGGCATGGCACCCGCCGCGTTCGACTTCTCCTGCGATGTGGATGCCATCAGAAGCAGCGTCGAGGCTGTCCTGGAGTGTGGCAAGGATGCTGTCGTGGTTATGCACTCGTATGCTGCAATTGCCGGGTGCGAGGCGCTGAAAACGTTCCATGCTGAGATGAAGGGTTATGCCCATGGTGGAGATGGTGGTGATGGCTGGGTTACATCTGACTCCAGTGCTGTGAAAAAGGATCTAGACACAAAACATGCACACAGGGGTGATGGTGATAGTGATGCTGTAGTGCCTGCGAAGTACATCTCACGCCGTGGCAGGATTGTGTATCTTGCATTCATTGTTGGAATGGTTATGCCGGTGGGGAAGGGCCTGTGGACACCTGAGCGCACAGAATGGGATGGCTTTGAATTGAAGGTAATGGATGCTATCCTATGTTGTTTTTTGTATTTCATTTCTTTCATTGCTTTACCCATTCATCCATTCATGCACATGTCTCCCTTTCACACTCACACACAGTCTCCTCATATCTCCCACCCATGAAAGCCACCACTAACCAACCGCGAAATCCAGGACGAACTCATCCGCATCCTCGACGGGCCCCGCCGCTTCTACAACGACCTCCCGGCCTCCGCCCAGAAATACTGGTCCGGCAAGCTAAAACTCCAACCACGCCCGTAAGCCCCCTTTCAAAAAGCAAAAGTAAAAAAAAAAAAAAAAAAAAAAAAAAAAAAAAACATTTCCTAACCCTAACCAATATAAAAAAAAAAAAAAAACAGCGTTTTCTTCTCCCCACTCACTTACCCCGCCTACCGCCACTACCCTTGCTCATATCTCATGTGCAAGCTTGACGGCGCGGTTCCCTTCAAGGTGCAGACGCGCATGGCGTTTGGGGCGGGGATTGCGCGCGAACGGATCGAGGTCTTGGAGGACGCAGGGCATTTGCCGATGATCAGTCAGCCAGCGAAGGTGGCGGGATTTATTCGGCGGGCGGCGGGCGAGGGAGTCGCGGTTGCGGAGAGTCGACTATGAGCGTTGCGAGTGCTTGCGGCCGGGATGCCAGTGGGTGTGTGTTTGGAGAGGATGCAATGCATTCCTGGATGTATTATATTTGAATCAGGTGGCGGCTATTGAATCCTTTCTTTCTTTCTTTCTTTCTTTCTTTTTTTTTTTTTTTTAATAAAAAAAATTAAATTTTAGACATCAGGAAAACAGATAGATATGAGGCTTGAGAGTTAAGTAAGTAGTAATGGTAACTGGAAATGAGCATGAAATCTTCTTGCGTTGGGATTATTTTCTGCTCAGCAAGTAGATTATTGCTTTATTTCCGCCTCCCTTATCCGCCCCGTTCTTATTGAATTGAATTTGCCCCAGCTGCCCCTGAATTAAACATGGTAATGCATAATTAGGGTTGATGTATCGAACAGAAGGGCTGCTTTAAGAGAACAATCCCCAGCCTAGAGCACTTGAAGAATAAATAAATAAATGCCGAAATTTTTAAGTTGAGTAAGTAGTCTATCCGCTTCATACCCCCCATTAAACAAACACGACCTTTCCAAAGGGGGAATAAATAAAAATACGATTTAATTTCGAACCCTTTTTTCACCCTGAGTTTTGCCCAAAGCCTAGAAACTCCAAACTCATACATAATCCAATCCAATCCAATCCAATCCAATCTACCCGCCTCTACCCATGCCTGCAAATACGAAAGCGAATCTTGCAAAGAGGACATTTTCACTAACTGAACGTGCTCGAACATACAGACAGGACAGGTTAATACGCCGGCTCTAGATCATCGCGGGTATGTATGTTAGCCAGTTCCTCGTAACAGTCCGCTATAAAAAAGGGAGAAAAACTACGGAGAAAAATTGGTAGAGACGAAGCCTCGAAGGCAATGGAGAAGCTCCATTATTGCTATTATTTTGGTTGCTACTTACATTAGTGATACCCCGCAGCCCGCGCCCGACGCACGCGTCTAAATGTCCGGATAGCCCTGCGGCGATACGAGGGCCCGGATGCGTAGCCTGGTTCGGGTTCGGGTTGCGGTGGCGTTTGGTGCTGTGACGGCATCTCATATTCCGATGACGCTGGGCCTTCGTGCTGCGGCGGAGTGTGATGCTGTGCTGGCATCTCATACTGAGAGGACGGGGCTTCGTGGTGTGATGGAATTTCGATTTCGTGATCTTGGGATTCATGCTGCGGTGGCGTCTGGTGCTGTAATGGGAAATCGTACTCTGGAGGGGATTGGCGCTGTGGGGGAGCTTCTGGCTGCGATGGCATTTCGTACCCCGACGGGGTTTCGCCACGCGGTGGAGTTTGCTGGTGTGACGGGACCTCATACTCTGGCGGCGGTTGCGGGGCTGTTGGGAAAGACGCTGCCGGAGGTGCAGGGGGAGGAGGCGATTTCGGGCTGTTGACAGGTGGTGGAGGGTTTGCGGGATACGCAGGGGGGGTGGCGGCCGCTGGAGGTTCCGACGCGGCTAATGGGGGCCCCAGACCTGCTGACGGGTACGTTTCTTCGGCTATTGCCCGTGGGGATATAGCCCTTATTGGGGTAGGGTGTAACGGAGGAGGACTAGGTGAGTGGGCAGGGCAACCACCGCGTCCATTCGCGCAGCCATCTGCAGCGAGGGCTAGGCGAATTGACAAGGAAAGGAGGGCAACGGATAACGAGCGCATGGTGATTGCGGGGCTCGCTACGGGAGGGTTTTCCTTTGTCTCTGCGTTCGTTGTTTAACGTTGTGGCAAGGCAAGGGGATGAAAAGTAATAATATTACTTTACCTGGGTAATAATATCCCACAGGTGGACAGCGGTGCTTCAATGGAATTGAAGTAGCGGGTTTCTGAGCCTTGAACAGCAGCATATTATAGACATGGGGCGCTGTGGCATTTATAATATGCTCTTCCCCTTTGATGAAGAGTTTTCCCCAAGACGGCCGTAGATGTGGATGTGGGAGAAAATGAGGTCCCGGCCCTGTCATTCCAACAAACAGGCGCAGAAGTAAACAGAATGATAGTCGTCGTACATGATGCGTGGAAATCTATACATCCAGAATGACAATATAAAGAACATCTTGCATGAGACGTGGTGATCTGCACAGCTGCTCGTGCCAAACGGGGGAAGATTCCAGTTTGTCCTTTCTTTTGGCCTGGTTGGTACAACCTAACCAAGGAATGTTTGATGGACGGGTTGGAGTTGGAGTTGGCAAAAACTCTGATTACCCTTCACAAGGATATTCCCTTGATTGGCAATATTTGATGTATATACCCTGGAGGGGGGTGGGGAAGCATTCTCAGCGACGCAGAGCATACAAACGTATTTGAACAGTTCAGATGGTATGTGTTTTAAGGCCGTATGGGTGCTGCAAAAGTCCAGATAGCCAGGCATAGTTCTCAGCTCAGTTGCCTCCAATGCCGGGTATTTGAAGACCGGATACGCATTGGAATATCGAACGAAATCTCGTTATTTTGGCCTCGGCCACAGCCCGTCCAGACGGCGGGTGCATGTTGGCGCATGAATAAACGGATATGGTATGTCTGGGGGTACGGTTTGCCATGACAAAGAAATACGACCAGCTTCTTTTCTCTCTGACGGCCGCAGGTATGGGATCATGTTACACCCTCGGACATTTGCGAGCTGGTTCGCAGGCAGGAATTTATGCGGTCAGTTTGATAGAGTATCCCGCGAGTGAGTAGTTTTGTCTGTATAGCCAACAGCGCCCGGACAGCCAACCCTTGATATGATCAAGGGTTGGGCCGAGTTGTGCAGTGGGTACTAGTACTTGCTGCGCAGAGAGAAAGTGAGTGAGAAGAGACAAAGAAAACTCACTGACTGTCTCAGCTAAGTTCGTTGAATTTGATAGTCTGCTAGTTAACTCAACTAACTAACTAGTTAATGAGCTGCTGCATCGTGGCGCTGGTTGGATTCCAACCGAGTTAGCGACTAAACCGCCAAAGGATACCGATGCGAGACGGCGAGATTTCGGTTTCAAAATATACAGTCCACGCCTATAAATAAGCTGCAATATGATCGGTGTTCATTGGTCACACGGACGGGTTCGCTGATAGTTTCGATCTCTTTGTATAACTATTCTAGCCGCTTACGGAGTAGTGAGCCTGTTGATGCACCCTGATGGAAGAGATCACACTCTGCGGGCGGGGCATGATAACTGCTGTTGAAGAGGAATAATTGGCAATTGCCTTCCTCTTCATTCTATGATCCGTATGAGAAAGCAGAGCGTGATGTGTAGTTATACAGCGCACTGTTAGTCAAAACCTCATCGCATAGACAGCATCCCCTTCATTCCAGGAGTCAAGAGAACCATCGTCAAACCCTTCCATGGCCTGAATACTCTCCCAGCTATGTTCCTTGAAAAGCTACTTCGCAGCGTTCCAAACACTCATGTAGAACATGTTGCTCTCCTCCGTATTATCTTCTCGCGCGATGCATCTCATCACTCGCCCATCGTCCGCCTTGACAGCAAAATCCGCATCGCCCCTCTCCACAACAATGTCCGCTACATCTGCGCTCCTGTACCCGCCCTCATCCTCTGCGTCATCGTCGTCTGAATCGTCCTCATTTTTAACTATCGTGAATCCCGCATCCCGAGCTCGGGCCCAGAGACTGTTATCATCACTATCAGATGATGCAAACCCGCTCCATTCATAGCTCGGCAGCCTGATGCGGACTCTCCACCCGTTATACGGCTTGAACTTGGCCGTGATAATCTCCTTCCACCGCCAGGTGGAAGGTATGTCAAGCCACGCGTTTCCGTCGCCAGCCGTTGCACACATCCAGAGCCGCCGGTAGCCATCAGCTTCAAGTACGGACCCGAAGCAGTCTGTGGTTTGAAAGCCCGTGTAGGGCCCTCCGCCCACCCCACAGAAGACTTCAAGGAGGTCAAGCTGCCGGCCCGGGAATAAGCCTAGAATGGCACCAAGATGGAAGTACCGGACCTTCTCGTCATCGTCGTCCTGGTCCCCGGCCTCACTCTCATCGCCCACGGCATCGGATGCATTGCTAGCGTTGACCTCATTCAAATCACGGCCCTTCATCTGAGAACTTTCACCCAAAGCGTTGGGCTGTGACTTTCCAGTGTCCGGATATAAGTTGAGTCCCACAGGGCAATGATGAATTAGCATGTACCGAAGCTGCCTTACTTGGTGCGGGACTCATGCTCATCAGAGTGTCAATTACATCCGCATTTGAGTTGCAGAAGACACGCGCATTTGGGAGCAAGAGTTTCGCGGCCTCGTGGTAGATTTGGCGACAGACTAGCAGGATTCCTAGATGCGGTTCCCGGCCCGATTTATCTCGGTTTCTGTGCAGCCTCCGGCATATCGTGATGGATCGGAAATAGTAGAGAAATACGAGCCTGCGAAGCTCTGGCGGCAAGCTGAGCAGTGTCGGGGGGCGAGAATGGGTGGGCATGGTTAGGGTATTGGCTTCCACGAGAAAACCGCACCTGAATGAGGGATGTGATATTGTATTTTCTTTTATTCTTGTGATAACAGAATGGCTTCAACAATACTTACGTACTGTACATGGATGTTAATCGGGCCCTGGTGTGAGATCGGCTGTGGAGGTACAGTACATACCCCGCTGCGCCTCCGCTAATCAAAATGTCGCTGATACTATTTTAATTATTATTCAGCATGAAATTTTGGGAGATAACGGTAGACCCGCGCACACCCCATCTTCGTCTGTCTCTGGCGTTGCTCGTTCCAAAACGCGCTGGGCGTGTTGGTATCATCTTGAAACATAAGAGGTCTTGATGATGGCTCGTTAGATACTGCTTCCCTTGATGCTTGCACCCATTGAGCAGGAAACAGACGGGACAGAAGCGCACCTACTCCGGAAGTATAAAGTAGACTCTGATTCCTTCTTTTTATACATATCCTTGATAGCCCCTTTGGAGATGTTTTCACCAGACAGGCGGCGACGCCCACGTCTCCCCCGGGCACAGAGTCCACGGTTGTCGAGGAATTCAAGGGGAATCCCCCGCTCAAGGCCACTGTGTCCACGACATCCGATAGAGCACTCGGATGGCAATCGGGAAAAGGGGTAAATTTGTGTCTCGGAAAAGGGTATCTGGGATCGCATTGCGGCAGTTAGAGCTTGGACACTCTGAGCCGGAGGATACCCATATGTGGCGGCTAGAATGAGCGCTTTGATCGAAGTCTCCACAATGCCGGTCCTTCAATCTACCACATCGGATTCTTGAGCGCTGCGGGATGGACCCTGTATGATACTGTAGCATGCCTTGGGACAAAGATCTCTTGTAGGTAGTGACGCTTGCAGTCGTCCCCACGGATCCATTTGACTTGTTTGGGTGTTCCGGTGCTTTCAGGCTTTGACGACCCAATGTCTCGGATAGGAACCCGGGAGGTTTTCTTCTATTGATGGCTTTGAATGCTCAGTCACATTCAGCCATTTCACAACCACCAGAAATTTTGACTGTCTGGAACCAAGTGCAAACGGAAAGCTGATGTTGTTGAAAAGCGGATAGCGAAAATCCGCTCCCCATTCATTTTCATTCCATTCATGAGGTTTTTGCAGTCAGAACCAGATTGACAGTACTCTCTAACTACATCGGCTTGGAATCGAAAGCTATAGAATCTCAACCCCACTGGATTTCTGCGTAAAGCCGGTCTTCTTTCCGGCCTATGTGTCTGCTTTCCTTTGTTGCCAATGGGCTCATGGCAGCGTTAATGGAATTTTGCCGAATATCTTGGTAACTTCCCTTCTCGTGTGGAGAAACATATACCGTGGACGGCGCGTTTGGGAGCAACCGTGGTACTCAACCCATCTTGGGTGGATTTGGTCAAAGGCTGCTCGGCCATCTCAGCCGAGGTCAGTAAAAAAAAAAGGTTCCATCTTCCTGGCGCATCTGCGGAGTGGTGAGTATAGATAGGCAACTGAGGCACTCCGACGTCGTCAAGCGGATTGTGATCTCCGCCGGTGGCACTCCCAGAATCTCAGACTCCCGTCATGGCTACCCGACACAACGCGGAACTCAAATCTTCATTGGCACTGATAAGGAAAACTCCGATGCCTCCGCCGTCGCCAAGGCACTAGCTGGCAAAAGCGCTCATGGCCTCGATGATGATGGCTATGTTCTTGCAGCAGGCCATCATAAGGGCCGCCCGAGCATTGTTCTCAACGGCGTGGATAAGCGCGGTACGTTCTACGCGGCTCAGACCCTTCGCCAGCTTATCGATGGAAGCCGTGTTCCGGGTGTCAAGGTGCGCGACTGGCCGCTCATGTCCATTCGCGGCTCCATCGAGGGCTTCTATGGCATTCCCTGGTCGCACCAAGCACGTCTCGACCACTATGAATTCTATGGCAGGCACAAGGTGAATACCTACATCTACACGCCCAAGGATGACCTGAAGCTCCGTTTCGAGTGGCGCGATCTTTACACTGGTGAGGCCCTTGAGAAGCTCAAGGAGCTAATAACCACCGCCACTACCAATCACGTAGATTTCACCTATGCTCTTTCACCCGGTGCTTCCATCTGCTACTCATCCGACGAAGATTTCAATACTACGGTCACCAAATTCAACCAGATTCGCGAGTTGGGTGTCCACAGCTTTTACATTGCTTTTGATGATATTCCCCTGAAATTCCACTGCGACGCGGACAAGGAGAAGTGGGAGGACAAGGGCAACTGGCACTGGTTGGCGGAAGCCCAAACATACTATCTAAATCGCGTCCAGAAGGAGTACATCGAGCCCCTAGGTCTCCTGGACCTCGAGACGGTCCCAACCAACTACGCTGGCAGCGAGCCCGATCCTTATAAAGAGAGGTTTGGTACCACCCTGGACAAGAAAATCCGCGTCCAGTGGACCGGCGAAGGGGTCTTCAGTGACAAGATCACCGTCGAGAGCGTCCAGCGCGCCCTCACGACCTATGTAACCGAGAACATGTTCATCTGGGACAATTTCCCAGTGAACGATGGCAAGCGTGACCGACTCTTCCTTAACCCCCTCACCGGCCGCGCCACCGATCTGTACAAGTACATCCTTGGCTTCACCTCGAACCCGATGATTGAGCCTTATGCCTCCCTGCCCGCCCTTTCCAACTACGCCGACTACATGTGGAACGCACCCGCCTACGACGCCGATGAGTCAATGGCGGCAATCCTGGCAGAGCTCGCGGGCAACAACAAACAGGTCCGCGAGGCGCTCGTCGCCTTCTCCGACCTCAACCAGAACTGGCCCTACCGCAAACCGGAGGTCCACTCTCCCGCACTTGACAAGGACATCGAGGCTTTCTGGGCCGGCCGGTCCGCGCGCGGAAAGGGCCACGACCGCTCCAGACAGCTCCGCAAGCGCTTGGAGCTCCTCACTCAGCTCCCAAGAACCCTGCCGCGCATGGCCATGAAAGCCTTTGCGGCGGAGGTAGCGCCTTGGGCGACCGTTGCGAGCCAGTGGGCTCATGCGTGCGAGCACCTGATCAGCATGCTCGACGCCCACGACAGGGGACAGAGGAGGAAGGCGGCGCGTGAGTTCAAGGCCGCGCTGGAGTGGGTTGAAAAGACCAAGGAGAAGACCGTGGACGAACGCAATGAGAAAGGCGAGGACCTACCCAAGTCGATTGTGCCGCATGTTGCGGAGCAGGCGTTCACTGGCTTCCTTGGAAATGCCACGGCTATTTATAATGGGGAGTAGGTGAAAGTGCGGAGTGCTTTTAGCGATTTGCCGCGGTACACGCCTTCCCTGGTCTAGTTTTCCTTTTTCTCGCTGTTTATCTGTTGTATATTCTGTATATATATATGTGTGTGTGTATTCTAGACATTTGCTAAGTAGCCCTCAGAGTTACCTTACATATATTTTTGTAATTCTCCTAAGAGTTTATTTTAATTCTAACCCTTTTCTGAGAAAGAAATCGCCAAGGGACACGTCGGTGATGCAGTGCAAGTTATGATATGTATTACCACTACCAAGGCCTCAAATTTCAAACTCAAGAAACAGAAAAGTTGAAAGATTCTTGGCGCTCTCCTTATCATATTTCTACTTCTGGGGGGATATCACTCGCCCCTGTGTGAGGGAAAAGAAGTAACCGATTAACTATTGAATCGCGAAAACCCCTGGTTCCTGAGACCCGATTTTCCTGGAAAAGGCTAATTGGCATGAGAAGAAAAAAAAAAAAAATGCTTTGTACATGTACAATGGAATCTACAAGAGTCTATCTCCTGGATGACATATGCAACGACAGACGAGAGGATATATATAGACAAAATGCAAGACAATAAAGGATTAAAAATGCAAAAAATATACGAGGGAATTGCAAAACATAAACGCTCCAGATTATGACCAGTCCTTGGGAAAAAAAAAAAAAAAAAAAGAACTCCACCGATAAACGCGAGAATGGATATCAAAACACAGCTCTCCCACGGCACACTCAATGGCCGGGCGATGGGATACCACCACCAAATCCACAGTCCCTGCGGGGCTCCAACCCTCTCAGCCGGTTGGCAATGTCGCTGACGTAGCTGGGGGTTCCGTATTTCACAACGTCCCAGTTGAGCGGATCAATTATACTGCCGCTGTTGTAGCAGCGCAGCATAGCACCATATTGGCGGCGATTCTTCGTGAAGCAGACAGAGAGGCCCTCGGTCTGGCCAGTGCCTAAAGCGCCAGCATATATCATGCCTTTGATTTTTGATTTAGGGCATTCACCAAAGGAGGTCCCTAAACAGCTGGGGCTTCCCAGGGCTTGCATGAGGCCTGGCGTCACACCGTCGCCTGCGACGGTGCGAACATTCCCGTTGGATTCTTGCATCATGATAGTGAGGAATATCCCTCTGTGATGTTTGGGATAATTAGTTAGCCGCCGTGTCGTTTTGGCAGTTCCAATAAAGATAAAGAAGGATACGGGAGATTCAAGCATACTTGTCAATTCCTGCCGCTGCTGCAGCTTCTCCAATATATTTCTTGATATAGCCCATCTCAGACTCGCTATTGAACTTGGACATGATCGGGCTGTTAAGTGCCCATAGTTGATTGAATGTAAGCCATTCCTCCGCTGGTGGGAATTGAGTGCCTTTATAACATGCGGGTCCGGCTGGCGTCGTTTGATCTGGGGGAAGGCCGGGCGTGGGGATTGGAGTTAAGTACCCGTTCGGGTCTTCTGTACAACTTGGCGATTCACGCCGGGTCTTGATTGGTTTGGCTGCAGTTAGACTCGTCGCCAGAAGTTGGAGGACGAGAAGCTAGGAAGCTGTCAGTCATACAACTTTTGACAAAAGGAATGAGAGCGCCCGGAGGGCAAACACATACCGATAGGAAATGCATGGTGAAAATTGTTGTCGAGCAATGAAATAATATAGAAAGTTCTAGAGGGATAGAGAGAGGACTCCTGGGATGCCCGCGATGCACTGATCAAATCAAATGGGCATATCAAAGATAGAGAGAAAATCTTTTCGAGACGCGAACAATGAAATAAAGAAATTTAATGATATAAGGATCGGCAAAGAGCTTGTGGGATGCAGGTAATGAACGAGCTCTTTTGAATTCTGTGGTTTGGATATTCTTATTCGATGGGGGTGTTCGCGGAGATTTATATCGAGGTGTCCAAGCAAGCAAGCCCGGAGCTCTGCATCGCGCCTGAACCATCGTGCTTTTCTCCCTCTATTCGGTCCTTATGATGATCGTATTTGCAAATTTAGACATAGGGAAATTAACCTGTCGCTCCATGTTGGCAGCCAGGGATTGGGGACTCTAGCAAGGGGCCTGGTCCATTCTCAGCCCCCAAGATACGGCAATCCAATGTGGTGGACAAGGGTCAGCCACGCCGTTCTTGTTCAGAAGTTTGCGACCATGAACATGGCCAGCCAAACAGCCCATTTTCACCTGGTCTGGTCCAGCAGTCAGTTGCGGAGCACGATCCGTCGCGGCGGCTACGAGAAACAACCCGAGAAATTTGATGTTTCTTATTTTAGACCTGTGATAACTCCCGCACAGTTAAGCTACAGAGCCAAGTACGGCCCAAGTCAGCTTTTGGGGAGTTACTAGCTACTAAACAGTTAGTTAGTAACTAACTAATGTCCTTGGCAGAACGGCGAGGATGCTCTCAAAGCACCAGGGACCTATACTTACTTACTCTGAGCACAGTCATACAAGAATAGTTGCCCTGCTGAGATAGGGCCATTGCCAGCTCCATCCTCCTGGAAAAACTATATATCGAACCCGGTGGCATCAGAGTTCTGAGGAACAGGGCGATTCTAAATGATTGGAGAGCTGATGGTGGCTTGGTTCCTTGGCCCATGCAGGCCAGGATAAGAAGCGAGCGAGTTGCGGCTTTGAACGGCGCAAGGTGACTTTGCTCTTGTCAGACTGATGGACATGGACATGATAGCAGCCTCCGACTAACTGCAGCCAGCTAGCAGCAAAGCTATTTCAGGCACGGCAGTGGATGCACGTACCATCTGAGCGTGGCATCGTTCTGTTGTTCCTGTGAAGCTTTGAAGATATTCTTCTGACATCCATGCATGTCGACGACTTTCGACATCAGAAATAGTAATAGTAACTTAATAGAGCTAAGGCCTTCGATTGAGATAATCGGCGAGACTCACAGTTATAAATTGCACGTGAAGAGTCCTTCAGCACAAGGAAGTTATTTCGAGAAAGTTATCAAATCAACTCTGCGGGTGGGCGCCGGAGGACCTCACACCTTCTTCACCAGTTTCTCTATTGTAATTGGTATCAGGAAACTCAAAAGAAAACCGATCCGATGGGCATTCTGTGAGGCAGGTTTCGCTGTGGTTCTGTTCAGCTACCGCATTCAACGTTGTTCGTCATTTGAGTTTGATGGGCATAAGGATGTTGATATCTACTGTGCAAAGAGCAGAACTCTTATCATACTCTCGCTGCACTTTTCCATCCCTGGAACTCATTCCATCACATTCCCCAGAAAGAGGATAGATTAGATATCCTGTTACCTGTGGGCTAACCAACCTCCATGCGAACCGTTTTAATTTTCAAAAGGTCAAAAGGCTCGTAGCAACCAAAATTCATGTGAAAGGGAAATTCGCATATCTACATCCATGTGCATCTATCTATACTGGGCTTCTGTATCTCATGGCTTGCCAACCGTTTCTTCAGCTGGGTTCAACTTCCTGAAGGTTTTTGCTTGGGCTGGGGCCAACACACCTTCCAACTCATGTCTTTCTAGCCGCAGATATCCACATATCCCACAGAGTCCCCGGCGCATGCTGGGTCAAACCAGTCCAAGGATGCCTTCCCAAATAATGCAATCGATAAGTTCAAAAGAGCCCCACGAAGCCACCGGAAGACCTAGACCATAAACTCAGCTGCTTTGCACAAGATACACCGGGTTTAACTTTTCATGAGCACTGGACCTGGACAGGTCTCGAGTTGCCACAAAAGGCGCTCCAGGCAACAGAAGGTCCAAAGTTTGGGATCTCATTGGGCAAGCCGGATCACCGTCCGCCCAGCCTGCGGTCTGCTGCACCACACCGATTCCCACGCCAATAACTGTGTCCTCGCCAAGCGCGCAAGAGCAAGCCGCTTTTTTATCCGGATTTTCTCAGCCTCGGAATTAGGGCTGGTTTTCCCGATTTGGAAAGGTTGATGAGATGCTTGTGGCTGCAGGGATTCGTGACTTGGTATTGTGAAGATACAAAAGAGAGGAAGAAAAAGGGGAAGAAATGAAGTTGGTACGAAGGAATGCTCCTAGAAGGACTGATACGCAATGAGGGAAGAGTGCGCCGCCAGCCAGCACCACTCAAGGAGCTCATCATGAGTTGCCATGATTCATACCTCCCGGCCTTTTCAGTTGGAACGCCATCCCGCTCCACGAAGGGGACTATTCTATCACCCACTGGCAAATACTGCCCAACGAGTCCTTGCTTTTGATCAACTTATCCGGTTCAACTACAAGAAACTTATGATGCGGTTTCCACTTACCTGCAACCAACTGGAAGAGACACACCTCGGCTATTCACATATATTCTTGAACTGGACGGATTTGGTTCTCCGGTATTCTAGTCAAAAACTACAAAGTGAAAAGGATCTGGAGAACTACGAGCGAACTGCAGTGGAAAACCATGTCCATGATACCATAGCCGAGCTATGCAAAATACCTGGTGCCCGAGAGAGAGATTCCCGCTTTGGCGATGGGGTCGTGTTCGAGCTGTGCCATGGCTACGGCCTGGAAACCTACAGCTCCTTCTTCCTAGCCACTTTCTACATGTACTTTTCTTTCTTGATCAGTGAGGTTAAGGGTACCACCCCCCTTGACATCGCTGATTGACAAAATGCACACAGCATGACACTCGCTGTGAGGGGTGTTGTTGAGCTGTTTAAACTTGTGGAACGTGAGGAGGCGGTCAATTGTGAGATTTTGGCTTTCTCTATCTCACATAACCACAGGGACAGTGAGGATGTACAGCTACTATGCGGTCATTAAGGAGAGCAACACATCCTTCTACCGTCACCCAATCAAAACATTTGACTTACCAGCGAGGTGGGGAAAGAATAAGTGGAGTGCATATATATTTACCAAGAATGTTTACAATACGGGGATGCCAGATTATCTGAGGAGGATTAAGACTGCTGTTGATGAGATCCCTCATGGAGTAAGTTCTGATGTTTCACAGTCTGAACTCAAACTCTCTCAATCAAACGTTCTGCTGTTTTTAGATGAAGATACCTTAGTTAAGACAAGAATTAATTCCCATTATCTGAACCATCCCACATGTGGTATGGCAACCTGATTCTGAATATTTTATTCACCTTTTCATCAACACTTAAGCCCAGATGTTTAGACTGCACACAAAGGCCGAGTCATAAGATCACTCCTTTTCATCGTATACTGAGGGTCAGTGATTGCCTTGGCCGGCTCCTCAGCACTTCAGACGGTGCCGTAGAAGTCTGGCTGTCTAGATAAACTAACACCGTTTGTATGAACCTATGCTTATTCATTAGCGCCTTGGCAGTTGAGTTGAGAAAATGGCCTCATTAGTGTTGACCAGAAAACTTTGCGAATGCAGATGCACATAAGCTCAGGGAATAGCAGCTTATAGTTCAGAGATTTCGATTACTTAAATTCACTCGGGGCCCCCTTCGACGGGCTGGCTTGAAAATGGGACAGGATTTTTATCTCATTGCACCTCGTCGTCGCGAAAAGCGAAGTTGGGGATGTAGACCTTGTGAGGACCTGTTCAATGGATCTGCATCCTCTCTCGTTTCCCTTTTTGCGAGACCCATTATTCCCCAATTTCGTGATGGGGAGAACAGTCACAGAACAGTCCTACCCAAGCCAGGGAAAACTATTCCCCAGAAAAGGCAACTTGAGCCGGCCCGTCTTCCTGTTAATATGCCATCTTCCCGTGCTCTGACGTGCACAACTGAATCTGGATCTATCCTCGTTCAGCTCCCCACCGAGATCCATTACCATATTCTCGACTTCTTGGACTTGGAAGATGTCTTTCTTTTGGGTCTTAGCTGCCGGAGGCTGTGGACCCTCGTGAGACCACTAATCGCAAAACATTTTTCGGGCTACCTAGGTGTTTGGGCAGGAATTCCGGTCATCTGTGTGGGTGATTCAATCGAACACAGTGGAAATACCCAGTATCCTGACGGCATGCTCTCCCCAGACGAGTTGAAAGAATTGGATGAGGGCCTGGAATTTGAAGAATTAGAGATCGAGCTGGGCGGCGAACTGGCGGAGGAGCTGGCTGATAAACCTGTCAGTTTGTATCAAATGGCCGACGCTCGATACACCAGCATCACCACAGTTACAACGCGTTTCCCGCACGATCTATTTGGGCTCGCCCTCGGTCTTCGATACGGACACCCTACCCCGGTAGACATAGTTCAAGTGGCACATCCAGAGCCACAGAGTTACTATCCATGCAGTGAGGAATGGGTTCTCAGAAATCTAACAACGCATGAATTTATTCGACCCTCAGCAGTTGCATTAGATCAGAAGCACATTCAAGGCCCGTTTATCGATATACTAGGGTATGGTGAAGTCATCCTCTATAAGACTTGCTGGTCAACCTCCGATTATTCGTTGATACGGGGAAAAGAGATGCATCGAGGGGTTTGGGCTGGCCACGCACTCGATATAGTCCCCACGAGCCACCTGAGTGGTGATATTTCATGGAAAGATATTAGTGACAAGATTGCACAAGAGATCTCGGAAATTTGGGGAGAGGTCTATGGGGAAAACTGGAAAACCGATCTGGTCACGGAACGGCGCCGCTGTTAACCTATTTTCAGCCATCATTTCTGTGATTTTGGATGCTGAATTTTCAGAAAACGCGGTTTGTGGTGCATGATGATATACAGATCATTCCAGGTTTGATGGCATTGAGTTTCATAGGTAATTTTGGCTTGTTGTGCCTTTGGCATGGCATCTCGCATTCTGGGGCGCAATTGTTTATATTTTAAGAATCCATATCAGGACTCTTTTTCCATTAAAAAAACACATTACCAGATTCTACACAGACATCACATATCAGTTTATTATCATAGACTCAAGCCAATAAACACTATGAGAAGAGATTTTCAAGTAATAATATAATTTTGGCGTAAGAGCTGTGCTGCCTGACTTGTAACACTAATTATACCATTGCACAAAATCATCACAATCATCAACATGACAAGCACTTTAGAGAAACATGTGAGTGTTGACTAGTCCCTAACTGGTTCTTGACTGGTGTGCTAAGAATATGAAGCGGGAATACGTTTGGCTGGCATGTTATCTTGGCAGATCTCCATACAAGAATACAAGATGACTGATTGAGAAAAAATAGCAGGGGTAAAAATTGATTGATATAGAAATGGCTAGCTAGCTAGCTACCTTCCTTCTATCTATACTATCTATGACCTGCTTGGCTTCACCATATGGGCTACTAGTCCTAGACATCAGTATAAAGCTGTAAGTTTTATTTAGATATCATATATAGACTTCATACAACTGAAGTAAATAGAAATAATATATATATATATATCATCACTATCTACCATTGATATATACCATCACTAGATATCATTGATAGATATCATCGATAGATATCATTCATTCAAGCAGGTAGGCAGCTAGATAGTCATCCAATAAGTTAGCATTGCCAGGTAGATGGGTAGCTAGATGATGATGTTTATTCTTATAGAGATTGATTGAATATTGAGCAAGGAGGTAGGCAGACAGACAGATAGACAGACAGATAGATTAGCAGCTATCTAGCATTCTTGATTTTATCAGCAATCAATCAGATAGTGAGCAGTGAGGTAGATAACTAGATAGGCAGATAATTTGGGATAAGAATAGAGGATATCTGAGCCAATTGCAGCCTGATATTTCAAAACTTATGCTAAAAAGTTATTATGGGGCTTGGCTAACAAACGTAGCAGGTTACAGAATTGAAGGATCTTATTGTTATCTCTCTGAATACTAGTTACATTCCTTGATTCCTTGATCATTCTAAGAGTAAAAAAGAAAACAACAAAAGAAAACAAAGGAATCCTTCTTTAAAAAAGATAAAAACAAACAAGGCCTCAGAAGGGGGAAAGCAGCTAAGGATACATGATCATAAGGATTCATAAAGAGGGAAGGAATCTCATCCTCTCGTCCCCCCATAACAGATCCATTGCCGTATAGATCTTACATCTTACTCAAACGTTCATATAAACAACCCATTCAAGGATTTCTGATCCCAAACTACCCTCATCAACTCTAGCGTAGGTCAGCTCAGTCACCCGAGGGGTGTAGTCTCCATACATAGTAACATGGGTGATAACGCCACCCAACCCCTAGTCAGATGTCCCTGAGCGGCATCCCTCGCTACCAGGAGCCATTGCGTATTAGTCCTGTTAGGAGCATTCCATTCTTTGTTTACTCATCAGTGTTTCTTTTCAGATGAATTTTTCTTTTCTTTTCTCTTTTATCTTGTAACTATGGAATATTCCTCAACAAAACTTAACCGAGGGTTAGTTTGCAACAGATCTTTCTGGATGTCGAAGGGCTCCGTTGGCCACAAGCGTGGACTCACTCGTAGATGCCACCGTCAATCCCCTCCGAAGAAATAAATATATATATGTCGATATGGCCCACCAATGCAGTGATGTGTATTTCCTGTAAAGGGAGTGCCATAAGAGTCTCGAGTCTCATCGCTTTCCTACATCTCGCCCCCTCGCTGGAAAGGTGGGGCAGGGAAATCTTGAGCGCGCAATAGCTTCTCTGCATAGTGGGAACTATGTGAAGAGTGGACTCAGTAGATTTGATGAAGGTCTGGTTTTGTGAGAGCTTCTTAGCAAGGATCTCGGAAGCTATACCTTCCCTTAACAAGCTCTTATCTACTCTGGTTCCCTTTGACTGCAAGTGGTGAAGAAATGTCTTAAAGAAGCATTCATTCTTTAGATCATAGGAGTCATCCTTGCTCTATACAGAGAAGCCTCTGCTGAATTGCAAGGGCATGTCAGACCATCGGATTCAGAATTGGCTCAATATCATCCATCACTGTTGATTGCCGGTCAACATGCTCATGGATTCTCTTTTGATCTAGCTCTGTCAAATTCCCTCAAGAACCCTGCATCGTCACTGGCATTGGTGTATATTTTGCTCATGTCCCCCAGCACTTGTAGGGTTTTCTGATTCTCTTTCCCAGGAGAAATTGCTTCTCTCCTAACTTAGAGTCGGATTCGAAATGGTCGAGTACGTAGATGGATGTTGTTAGACGACGTTGTTGAGTTTTCTGATTGGAATGTTGCGAATTCCAACAACAAGAGCTATAGTTGATTGCTTCCATTATTGATGGAGAATGTAATGTCGTTGTTGAAAGCAAAAAGGTAAGAAACGAGAAGAAACGACGAAGACAGAGAGAGGTATAGAAGGAAACTTAACAAAGAAAGAAATTTATAAAGAGGAAAGAGGGCTAAGAATAAGAGAGTCAAAATGGATAAACATTAGAAGAGAGGACGCCGAGTGCCTGCTGCCCCTAATATCCGAAGAGAGAGCAGCAAATTCATGATCGGTATATTTGGGAGAACATCAAGAGTGTTAAACTCCTTTTTATCTTATGAACGAGGCACAGGAGCCATAATAAACAGAAAATGTAAGGTAGATGTAGCTGTAGTAGAATATACAGTACAACACATCAAGGGTTTGTTGGTGTTAGCATGCTTCATCGAGGGTGGGGAGAGATATTTTGCAGAATAAAGTCTGGTGGAATGTGTGATGTTAGGGACTCGGTAGCTAGAATAAAAGAAAGCATGCCTGGGCGCTCAGCATTGGGAATTATACTTCATATTGCTGCATACATGTGCAGCCTCAAAGCTCTCTTCTCCGGCTTTCATGAAATCACCTTGTTTGAGAATATGAATGATGGGATATATAGAGGATATTATTGACCAGGCAGCGGAGCTGAATGGAATTGAAGTAGCAAAAGCAACAACCCGGATAAATAGTTATATGTAGGGCGTTCTTTACAAAAGTAAACCATGTAAACACCAAAGTATTGTGGCCTAGTTCACCTGTGATGAAAAAGTGTTGGCCCGTTCCCCAAAAGTGGAATGGGGTTTGGGAACGAAATCGAATCCATCGAGGTAGTAGAGGCACTAGAAGCAAATGGGTCATTACCAGAGCGGACAGGGCCAGTTTGGGGCCGCGGCAATTTTTGCCAGCGCCGGTTTTCTTCGTCTTGGTCATATTGCAGACCGGATCGAACGGGGAGATAGCGAAGTTGGGGAGGCTCGCATTTTCAGTAGGGGCCATTATGAAAAACCGAATAAAAGGGGAATATAGATAAACGGATGGACCTGTTTATTCGCCGTAAATGAAGCGGGTTGAACTCCTCACCTATCGAGAATGGTTCTCTCTGTGGGAGTTCCTTTCAAGGACATCTGAAGGGTCGTGCACTCTGTGGGCATTTTGACATGACTGATTAATGTTCCGGGATAATCCACGATGAAGATTTGCATCAGAACCGCTTGGACGGATATATAGGAATATTTTAAGATGGGTTTCCCAGCTAAGGATCGGTCCTCGGTGCAACGGCATTCAACATTTTGCAAATTGTGGCATCGGGGTCAGCCTCCTTTGACTTGTGAACCAGAACATTTTAAGTCGCCGACAATGGGACAAAAATTTTTGACTTCCATGAAGCTCAATGAGGGTTTTTTGCGCTCACCAATCACTCAGTCGTGGAGACATCCCAGAGTGGGTTCCTGGAGATGCGAATTTGGATTTGATATGACATCGGAGGAAGGTAGGGCAGAACGTTTTAAGTCTGTTGAGGCTGTGAAAACCAGATGGAGTTGGCAATTTTGGAGTGCGTAAAACGAGTTCAGGATTCTGTCTTCGCCAGATTTGTAGGACCTTTGGACCAGCGTGCAATAGGGTCATACGGAGATGATCCCGGTGTAATTTATCCGTCCCATAGATACTAGTGTTGACTATTTCTAAGTCACGCTCGGAGTCGATATATGCGAACTATAGCATTGCTTCTTTGGAACTCATTTGCTTCTTATCTTGATCTGATGCTGCAGCAATTCCGCATGAGGGAGGGATTGGGTGAGCTCTTTTGCACCAGCAAGATAACTGGAGGTCTGGGATCACTCGCTATATAAACCATAATCAAATCCTTCCGGGGCGGTTTATACCACTTGGTGGCAGGGTGAAAAGATAGAAATTGAGAAATAAAAAAGAAATAACCCGGAGAATGGAAAAACCATAAACTGATGGCCAAGAAGGCTGTTTCTTTTGAGGTTTCTTGACCGTCGCAATTTCTGGAAATTCCAACGACGGCATGAGCCTCAATCCTACACCAGTGGAACTTCGATCTTCAGTTGGGGGGGAGGGGGTGTTTCACCGGCCGGAGTGAAGTTTCTCTGATGCCTTTGCGGATTTGCTAGCTGCGGTTCAACATTTGAGAGATTGATTGATATGGGCTGACAGATATCTCATCTGCACTCCCTTCCACCCGACGTGGGTAGACAAACAACAATAAAAGAAATAAAATAAAAACTATTTCTTCACAGTAAAATCACCGAAAAATTTACTGCTCGGTGCTTGGGCAATTTTCATCATCAATCTGATATTGCTCCCGGTGAGTGATTTGCTCACAATATATCATGATCTTCAGGCCATCTGTAGAATGATTAGTGAGATATTACATTTACTTTCACATAATATCATATTTTAAAAAGGTGTGATCAGAGTTGTTGCTGCTGTCACTTGAATGATATCAAGAGCAGAATTACAATCACGGG